TTTTTTCAAAAAATGTATTTTATAATAGTGTTATGATGGAGAATATGTGGTTAAAAATAAGGAAAAATTTTGGATTTGTGTGTGATATTATTTTATTGAAAAATGTGTGATTCAAATGTGGTCAAATCGCTGTTAAAGAATACATTTTGGTAGAAAAAATGGAGCTCAAATAAGGACATAGTAAGCAGGTTGTAAAGGGTATTGCTGAAGTTATTGAGTCCTTTAGTAAATCATATTCAAACTTAGGTTTGACATAAGTTTGATATTGTAAATAAATTTTAACATAACTAATCAAAGCTTGTTCTATTATAAAAAGTCTAGACGAGATTGATCGACTCGCTTGACTTATACCATATATTTTTAAACATTAAATAAATTAGCTAAATACCATTCGAGCTGAAAATATTGCATGCTAAAAAATTTCAAGTGCTTTTAAGTTCAAGTCCTTTGTTGTTCCATGACAAGTAGATCAACGTGTTATTAACCAATAGGGTCTCATATGGACTTTCAATAAATAGAACGCGTTTCACTAAGCTTAAAATGTCCACACGCATAAGTAAATAAATTTTGAAATAAAATAATATTTAATCAGAAAAAGTTTTTTTTTAGCAAAACCAAATAGGGGGCTGAATAAAAGTTTATTCAAACAGACGATGTTACTTAGAAGGAACTTTGCTTTTTTAAGATTACCATACTTGTTCTATAGTATGTGGGCCAACATCTCGTTTTACTTGAAAGGATGTGTCAAGAATCATTAAAGAAGTTTAGATGAGTAAAAGTTCAACCAATTTCGAACAAGTTCAGCTCTATAAATATTGCCCCTCTCATTAACGAATGTGAATTCTTTATTTTCGAAAGATTATGAGACAAAGGGATATAACTAGAAATTAGGCACTTGTTCTCTTTACCATTTCGTTTTCTATTTTCGATTTTCCAAAACAGTGAAAACACGTTCCCTTTCCTATTTTAGAAAACGCGTTTTTGAAAACAAGTTAAAAATTTACAAATTTGTCGTTTTGGGTGTTTTCAATTATAATCAAGTCAAAATTCTCAAAACGCGTTTTGTGTGTTTTCAAAACAATTTTTCAAAATGTCAAAATGAACACATTTTCAACAATTTCAAAATCGACATTTAATACCCAAAACCCAAGATGAATTAAAACTCAAAACACAAAAGCGATTTGGAAAATGACCCTCCACCACTAAGGGTGAGAAATGGCAAAATAGATTAGTGTGGGCCATATTTGCGTTTTTAAGTCAAAATTATGCCCTCTAATTATTCAAATGCGATTCTTCGGTTTGTGAGATTCTGTATGAGACAAAAGCGCCCCCCCACCAAATAAGCAACTTTTCTTTTTGATGAATTAATCGACATGTCACCAAATAGACTAACAACATATTATAGATGTCTCATTGCCGACTTCTACCCACCCTAACGGTCTAGATTCACATCGTTAAGATTTTCTCTGTCTTGATCAACAATATTTTTTTAGGGAAAATTGCAAAATTGGTTCTCGACCTATCGACTTTATCGAATTTTCATCATCAACATATATTTCTTGAGAGTATAATCCTCCTCAATTTTTATATTTTACGTGTGCTATTAGTATCGGTTCCACTTTTCCATCGAAAATCTTGTTGGAAAAGGCGACATTTCGTCTGCAACCAAAGGTCCCGTCTTCGAGAATAGAGTAGGAATAGTTAAATGACGACATTATCCCTAAGAGTTGTGAATGTAATCGATGTGCATATGCGTTACTAACATGCTTTTTGACAAAAAAAAGTAAGATCGAGAATTATGACAAAGCACTTACGAATTAAAAGTTGGTAATAATTCTGCCAAATAGACAAAGTTGAGAATGAAACTACGACTAAGTTGATAGCTAGGTTAGAGACTCACATAAAGATCAAAGACAAAGTTACCTAATAGTAACATATGTTAAATGACACAATTCACAAAATAAAATGTTTTTCATAGAACTTATGTCGTTACTTCAATAACCACAAATATTTTTAAACTTAAACCCAAAAGGTATTCCTCAACTTCATAAGTTAAAAATAAACTAAATTTTACTATTGTCAAGTCTTTCCTAACATCACGTACTAAACAATGCAACACGGTCGTCTAACGCTAAGCCTTATACTTTGTTCTTATTTGAATAACATGGTTCTTTATTTGAATGTCATCTTACCTCCAGAATGTGATTCGAACATAACTAATCAATTTTCGTAAACTCAATGAATAAAAAATAATCCCAACTGCAAAGTAAAAAAAATTGAAAAATATTAATATAACAATTTGAACTTAGTAAGTTATAACCAACCAAGTTGATATATACTCTATATTCAATGGTAATAATAGTGTTCAATGATGACATATTATAATTACGTACTCGATCTAGAATTTTTCTTTAACTAAAAGCAACTCCAAGGACGATTTGTTTTGACCAAAAAAAATTTCTAAGATTTCGGAAAGACCCAAGATTTCAGCACACTTTTTGTTGGTAAAATCATTAAAACAACTTTATGTCCCCATCTTTCTCATTATTTGCTTTTTCGGTTTGGCAGTTGAGTTCATGTTAATTCAAGTTAAATGGGCTCCAAAATCAATTCATTCTAATTATCAAAACTATAAAAATAAAGTAAACCTAAATTTTTAGATATAGATATAGCCCCATATTGGGTTTAGATAAAAATAATATTTTTAGCAGATTTTGATAAAAGTTAAAAGAACGTGTGACTAAAAAGTTTTGAGTACACGAAATGTAGTTAAAATTATATCTTTAACTTTAACTTAGATTTTAATCCAACTTTTTAGCAAAACAGGATGGGGACATTTTGAGTAAATTGTTTTTCACCACTCCATTGAGTACATTGCTACAAATAATAGAAGACTTTAAATAGTCAAAATTAAAGACATGTCACAACTAGAAAAAAATGCGACTAAGGATTCATGTCACAAGAGAGAGTTTTATGCTCATTCGCTACTTAAAATTTAGAATGTGTTTGGTGGAGATTAAAATTTGATTTTTAGTAGATTGTGATACAAGTTTTTTAAATGTGTGGTTGAAAAGTTGTAGGACTCATGAAAAATATGGTTAATATTGATTGTTTGATTTTGACTTGGATTAAAATCAGATTTTAATCCGGATCAGGTTAGAGTACTTTTTTATTACTCTTGTCCGAATTTGGAATAGACTACAAAAAGAGAGACAGAAAATGTTGCTCTAGATGTAAACAAGAAAAGGAAAAAATTAAAAGAATATAGAAATCGAGGAAGGGTAAAAAAAAAGGAAATGCTTTGAACATAGCGTTCTTGCTCATCCCTCTGGTTGAAACAGCATAGTACATTATACAAATATACAATCATCCAGAGAAATATGTATAAAACTTTCAAAATTCAACTATTACAAATTTCTGCTTCTGGAACCCTAAAAATCGCATTAGGTTTTAGGTTTTCACTATTCTGTCTTCCCAAAACCAAAAGCAAAATATTTAATAGAACAAATGACAATTTTCTTTATCACAAAGATACAATTGCATAACACTAATCAGATGATCCTTCATCCTTTTGTGCTAAGAATTAATTTGTGTTATCCCAAATTCAAATTAAGAAAAATTAATACGGTTCTTTTAGTTTTCTTTTTCAATGAAACTTTGTTACATGTATTAGTAGCTCCACAGGTTTTCTGAATCAGAATTTTCCGGCGATTCATCTGACGGCGGTGAAGTGATTCTTGGTGGGCTAACGAGCATTCCCTCCGCCATGTCCACCAGCAAATTAGGCATATCAAAAAGTGCCTCTTCATCTATAAATTCACGCTCCGCTTGTGCATTGGCAGAGCTACCATCTCCCTGCGGTTCACCCACTGCCCCCTCACTGCTCACTGGCTTCATCAACGCAGCTGCAGCCGCGGCTGCTCGTCTAATATCAGCTGGTGAAGGAGAACCCTGAACTGAATATTTACTAATTCGATCAGGGAAGTTTAAAACAGCATGATCACTGCCTTTTAGGGCTAGCGCCGCCACATCATAGGCGGCAGCGGCCATCTCCGGTAAAGGGTAAGTCCCTAGCCATATGCGTGTACTCTTTTTCGGCTCGCGAATCTCCGACACCCATTTGCCACTGCGGCTTCTTATTCCCCGGTATAGTGGGTGTTTTCCACCAGTTGGGCGGCTAGGTGATCCACTAGAGGTGGAGGTCCTTTGAACCTTTCTTGGAGATTCTAGTTTTTCATCTTGGTGCAATATTGTGTGTGGTGGCGGCGGTGGCGGCGGTTGTATCGATGGAGGAGGTGGAGGTGGAGGTGGAGGTGGAGGTGGTGGTGGCAGAGGTGGTGGTGGTGGTGGTGAAGGTGGTGGATGGTGGTCTTGTTGACTAATGTTGGGATGATGTGAAGGGTCAGCCATATATGTGTGTNNNTGAAGGGTCAGCCATATATGTGTGTACAAATAGTTTTAAGTTTATATATATATATATATAAAGTACTCCCTCCATTCGGTAAAAATATGCTTGCCCTCCTTTTTCATATGTCCCAAATTGTAGGTCACTTTTTCTTGTTTGTATTGTTGATTTCTTAATTTTCTAATATGCCACTATTGAAGTTGCTTTGTTATCGACAAATATGAACTACTTATATTTAAATCACTGATTAATTTAGGGGCATAATATGAAAAATGTAAGTAAAATTTATATTTTCAACTATATTAATTATATTTTTTTATCTACATGAAAATGAAAGCAATCCGATTTTCATGGGAGGTAGGGAGTAATATAGAAGGGTGGATATGTGAAGGAGTGAAGCCTATATAAGGGGAGGTTTTGTGTCTACAAAAAGTATGCCATGGGAGATTGATGGGTTACTTGATGTGGGGTAGGGTGGTTCTTGTATGTATATACGTGTGAGTGATGTGAAAATGAGAAATATGCATAGAAGTAAACTAATAGGAATAATGCTCCTTGAGCAGGGGCCTTTGACAGGGTTGGGAAACATGTAGTGCATGGCAGCACCTGTTTGGGAACTTCTTTTTTTTACAAATTGACACATGACACAGCATCTGTTTGGGTGTTTTTTTTTTTTCAAATTGTCAAATCATGTGTCAATGCTTGTACCCCTATTTTTTAAGCTGTCGTTGAGCATTTCACTGTAGCAAAATTGAACTAATAGTTAGCTGTTTTCTTACATGTCTAGTCCACTATTTGGCCATGGTACTCAGTCAATGTCCACTATTTGGCCATGGTATCTAGTTTCAAGCCAAATCATTTTTTAACTCTATGACTCGAAAAGTCAAAATTCAACCCTAATTTAATTTTAATAGACTCTAAAATCATGTGTAGATTGAAGAAAATCAACCTATCTTATAGATTTTAATGAGTGATTTAATAGACCATTAACACCATCATTAACCGACTATTTAACCCCCCTCATTATTAACATAGGACATCAATCATGAGAGCTTCAGAGGCTAAAGAAGTTGGAAGGATAGTTGAAAATAAATAAAATAAGACAAAACGTGATCAAAAATACGTTTAAGTGCACGATTCGTTAACAAGTAGTAAAATAAATTTTAAATCTAAATATCGTACACAGAAATTGTACTATTCAACTTCAAAATAAATTTAACCTTAACCGAAACAATAGAAATTTATTATTTTTCTATAACTAAATTGTATCCACTTAAATTACGTATGAATGCAGGACCTAACTTAATTAAAATCAATACAAGGTTATAATTAAATGCAAGTATATAAAAATTTGATAATGAAAAGCGTACTAGGATCCCGAATCTTTTAACCCTGAACCCTATGAATTTGATAATACGATTGAATTATGAAGATCAGTATTCCTGATTTGTTTAACAATCTCTCTAGAGTAGAATTAAATCTATGTAACCCGACTATATTTTTATGACGGATGCGAATATATGAAAATGCATTAAGGATTTATAAATACTTAAAGATCAGGTAGAGTATAGCGGTATAATTTCTATCCCCTATCAAATTCTATGACGGTTGACATTATGTCTAACTTATTTTCAATCTTTTGAAGGTAAAACAAACCACAAAATTCATACAACTATTGTGCATATATTTGTAGACAAAAGTTATTCTTATCAATCATTCAAGAATTGAAAACGTGTTTTGAATGTCAAAAATAAATAAGATTCATGATATAAGTTTCTTCGTAATTCTAACACTAAAATAATGTAGTTTGACATAATATCGGAATTAAACAAATAAAATCTAAATGACATCATCTAAAAATTGACGGAATGTGATTAATTTCCAATTTATTTGCACAAATTGTTAATGAATTGTGTACAAAAATTGGAATTAATACTTCAATTATGCTGCTGTCCACCTGCGTGTCTACTCTTCCAAATTCTGTGCGTGTGTCCTTTTATATTAATAAAACCACCAATTGGTTTTTTTCAATTAAGAGTCCAAAATTCCTTTAAATTCCAATTCCCTTTCTGCCGTTTTTTTCTTCCAGAAAAAGGAGTCCATTATTTCGAGCCAATTGGAATTATATTTGTGGAAATTACAAGGATTAAGGATGTGTTTGATTGCGAGTATAAAATATGCATGAAAATAAAATAAATTGTAGGCAATTCAATTGTCTAGAAATTATTTATATGGAAATTATCGATTAAATGTGTTTGATTGATTTAATTTTTAACCAAGAAAATATTATACTTGTCCATGTTTTATTGGTGATTAGATGAGAGAGAGAAAGAGAGAGTGAATTACCTGAAAAATAAAAATTATATTTCCCTAAAAAAATATTTTTCTTACTTTCAAAGAAAATATGGTCACGTGATCAAAAGTAAAAAAAAATATTTTCCATGAGAAAAATTGCAAATCAAACAGTACAAAAGTATGGCATTAGGTGAAAAAACAAATTTTTCATAAAAAATATTGGCAATCAAATACACCATAGGTGTTTTCAAGATCTCAAGTCATAATTAAGAAATACAAGTTTTTAATTTCAAAAATAAGATATAATTAAAAATTTAAATATTGATAATGAAATTATAAAATTAAATTAATTAACATACCCCATCCACCCACCTCAATTACAAACCCTAAATTTATTTTCATTCATCTCTCTCACCCTTTCTCTCTCATCTTCATCTCCCGACTCTATACACTCTTCGTAACCTTCGTCGTCGGAGAGCGTCGCCATCGGAGACCGTCTCTCTACCATCTTCACTGTGAGAGCAATTTCTTGACTTCAAATCGAGCCAGCAGTAGCCTAGATCATCGAAAGCTCTACATATCTCGGGTAAAGCTATTCCTTCACTGTGAGCGCCATTAGAGGTTCTACCGATCATGTTGTTATGGCATAGATCACAATGGTGATGGCACAGATCGTGGCTGCAGCGGCCAAGATTGCGTTAGTGGTTTTTTTTTTTTAAATTATAGGATGGACGGGAGTGGTTTTCGTGTTTTGGTGGTTTTAGGGCGATGGTTATGGTGGCGGTGGGGTGAGGTAAGGTGAGGTGGTGGTACTACTAGCGATTATGGTGAGGTATTGATGGTTATAGTGGCAGTGGAGGCGACTGTTCATGTGGTGGTGGCATTGGTGAAAGAAATCAAATTTTGCTGGTTTTTGGGATTTTTTTTTTTTTTTTGCAGTGGTGTAGAGGATCTAGCGGTAGTGCAAGTGGATTTTGGCGCTTGTGTGGTAGTGGATCTGATGTTGTTGGCAGTGGTGAGGTGGTGGTTGCAAACGGCTGTGGCACAGGCGGTGACGGTGGCGTCGTGGTGTTGGTGGCAGCGACGGTCGAGTAGAACCAAGAGTGTCTATGACCAATAAATTGGTTGATTGTAACCAATAAATTGTATAATTTGTGACCAATATATAATATGCTACCTAAAAAATATGATTGTGACTCAAAATTTACTAAGTTATGATTGAGAAATAACTTGTGACCAATTAATTTGATAATTTGTGACAATTAAATAAGTTGTGACTTATAAAATTTATAATTTGTGCCCGATAAATGAATTGTAACCTATGAATATTTTGATTTTGTAATCGATGAGTAAAATTGTAACATATAAAAAATTTTGATGTGTGATCGAGAAATAAATTCTGACTTATAATTTTTTTTATATGTGATTGATAAAAAAATTGTGACATATAAAGTTTTTAAATTCTGATAGAGAAAAAATTATAA